TCAAGCGTGAAAACATATAAGTTGTTTGAACAAGTGGAGGGAGGAGAACAAAGATTTCCAGGCACTCGAGCCCCTGGTCGTTGGATTGTCCTCAGGCAGCTAATGATATGGTGGGATGTTGTATTTGCAATGGATAACCTGGGCCCAAAGCTGGCTATTCTGGGTGGCCAGTCTCCACCACCATTTACTCAAGAGCGCGAGGTTGTGTTTCCTTAGAACTCTGATCCCAAGACCACCATGATGTTTCGGGAGACAGACTTTGTCCCATGAGATGAGGTGGATCTTATTTGACGCAGCATAACCTGACCAGAGGAAGTTCCTCATAAGTTGGTCTAGGCGCTTAGCAACCGAGGCTGGCATGTGAAATAAGGACATGAGGTAAACCGGAGAGTTGGCTAGGGTTTCTTTGATAAGCATAGTTCTCCCTGCAAAGGACAAGTATCTGCCTTTCCATCTTGCCAACCTTCGATCTACTTTGTCGATTACATGAGACCACTGAGCTTTCTTTGGCTTACCCAACCCTAGAGGCAAGCCAAGATACAACATGGGTAGGTCCTCCACTGAGCATTCCCAACTGGGGATGAGGTTCCTAGTTTGGAGATTAGATAAGCCTACACCTATCATTTTAGAGTTAGCCATGTTTACTTTGAATCCTGCAATGTACTCAATGAAAATCAAGAACAACCTAAGGTTTTTTATTTCCTCCAGTATTGCATCTAAGAAAACTAGCATATCATCTGCCTACTGCAGATGGGATATGCACAGGCCATTTCTACTACTTTTGAAGCCAGAGAGTAGTCCGGCCCAATACAGGCAGAAGATAGACTAGCAAAAGACTTTCGCAGCAACGGCGAAGAGAAAAGGAGAGAGAGGGTCTCCTTGGCGAAGGCCCCTTGAAGACGGGAAGTACCCTTTCGGTTGTCGACATGGAATAAAGGTTTGGAGTAGCAACCCCTCATCCACGTCCTCCAGCGTTCGCCGAACCCCATCCTAAACATGGTTTGGTCGAGAATGGGCCAATCCAAGTAGTCATACGCCTTCTCCCCGTCTATCTTAAAGATTAAGCCCAGTTTTTTGTTGTGGTGGCGGGAGTGTAAACACTCAGGAGCCACCAACACTCCGTCTAGTATTTGCCGGTCCTATTATGAGGAGGTTATGACAAGAGAAAGAACCTGTTTGAGCCTGGAAGCCAAGACTTTGGACAGAATTTTATAGGAGGAACTGACCAGACTTATGGGTTGGAAATTCTTCAATTCCTTTGCCCCTTTTACCTTAGGTACAAGCGCAATGAAGGTTGCATTGATGGCTTTATGGAGTCTTCCACGATGGAAAAATTCCTCGACGAAGAGAAGGAAGTCATTTTTGAAAGTATCCCATAAAACTTTAAAAGGGGCGATTGGGAACCCGTCTGGGCCGAGGGCCCTGTCTGCACCCAGGTCCTCCAATGCTTTAAAGATTTCAAACTCAGAGAAAGGGCATTCCAACCAATCAACCCAATGAGAGGGGAGAGATCGAAAAGGAAGGTTGCCCATGCTAGGTCTAGGATTCAAAGGGGTGGAGTACAGATTCTGAAAGAACGTGACGATGGCTCATTCGATGTCCGGGGCAATGTCCAGGATCATGTTACCTTCCTTAATAGTGGATATGGATTATCTCGTCTACAACAGTTTGCTATCCTGTGGAAGAAGCAAGTGTTCTGATTCCCTGATTTAAGCCAAGTAACTATGGATCTCTGGTACTAGAACAACTCTTCTTTTTTCAAAGTAGAGAAATAGTCCAACTTCGATTTTGACCTTAGGCTGGCCACAGACGTCGATAAAGGCCTCGATTCCTCAATCAAATATAAGGCTTGGATGGCATTCAACGGGATTTGCTTAGTATGAGAGAAATTTCTTGAAAGAGAGGAACTCCAGGTTTAAGGGAGGCTTTAAGTAATTGGATCTTTTTTTGCAGCGTAAAGCCAGCTCTACGCAAGACTCTGGTTGAGAAGGAGTTCCATCAGACCAGAATGAGCGAAGACAGAGCTTCGTGTTCGAGCTAGGCGAGTTCAAACCTAAAAGGTTTGGGGCCCCAAGGAACTGCTAGAGTGTCCACGAGGATAGGACAGTGGTCGGTAGTAGGTTTTGGCAGAGCTAAAGCATGAGAGCCAGAGAAGTTCTCATCCTAGGAGGGGAAAATCAGGAACCTATCCAGTTTTGACAGAGTTGGTTGGGAACCATGGTCCGACCAGGTGAACAGGTTCCCTTGGAGCGGGATATCTATCAGCTCATTGCAAGAAATGAAGTCCGAGAAATCCAACAATCCTTGGGAAATGTTGGAGTTGGAGTTCCTCTCGAATGACCATTTGGTTATGTTAAAGTCCCCGCCCAGACACCATGAAGGGTGAGGGAGGGTTGCTAAGAAGTCGAGTTCAGCCCAAAGAAGAGTTTTGAGCTAAACTAAGTTGTGGCCGTAGATTGCGGAAAATTTCCACGGAAACCCGTCTGACAGTCTTGATAGTAGCACTGTTACCGAGAATTCCCCTATATGGGAAGAAAGCAGGTTGTGCTCAGACGGGTTCCAGATGACCCAAATACCACCTAAAGCCCCTGTCGCAAGCAGAGAAAGCCACTGATAGGGTTTCCTTCCCCAGACTTGCCGAATCAACTGGAGAGAGGGATCCAGTTGTTTGGTCTCGATAAGGGCAAGGATAGTGGGATAGTGTTTAGCACACAAGTCCCTCGCGGCATAACGTTTGAGAGCTTGTCCCAAGTCGCGGACGTTCCAGGAAGGATTTTCATGGCAACACCAGGGGAGGGGCGGAGGAGGCCATCCTATGAGACCTCCTAGTGCTGGCATCCCGCGAGGGGGAAGTAGGGTGAGAAAACGAGGGAGAGGCCAGAGAGGATTGTTTATCATAGTTGACCGATGAGAATAGATTAAGGATCTCTCTTTAGCCTCTAAGATCACCTTCATACAGCGTTCTGCATCCGAAGTTAAGAAATGATGGAAGGGTCCTTTCGATCCATCAAAAGGAAAGCCCATGACTCTAAAAACTTCCTTCGTCGTTTCTACTTGGCTGTCCACCTTCTCACTGGTTGAGCCTAGCTAGCGATCAGGCGTCAAGTGATCGCCTGTAGGCGTAGAAGAGGTTGGGTTAGGCAATTGCAGCTCCTCGCGGGGGGAGGCTCAAGGATAACAGAAGAAAAGGAGGAGTAAGGGTCAGAGGGGGAAGAGGGAAGAGGCTCAGGGGTTAAGGGGAAAGGACAGGGTTTCGAGAGGACAGAGACAAGAGCCAAGGAGCAAGGAACAAGGTAGGAGGAGGGCGTGAAGGTCAAAAGGGGAGTGGTGGACCCGTCCAAGGAAGAACTCGGTGCCAGGGAGGGAGGAATTGAAGGACCTTCCATAGGAAGAGAAAGCCTTGGAACCACGGGGGGGGGGGGGAAGAGGAGAGGTCGAAAGAGACACCGAGGAGTAGGGAACAGGGCTGAAGACCTGAGACATCCCAGGGAAGAAGGATGGGTTAAAAGAAAGGTGAATGTAGGGTTCGAGGTGGTCGAAAACAGGAATGGGCAAGTGGGGTAGCAGAGGGTGCCCGTAGTGGCGGAAAAGCGGTAAGTGAGAGGTCCTCACTCGGCAGACAGGTACCAAGTGGGGGATGAAGGGGGATAGCGAGACAAGGATCAAGGAGAGGAGGTCTAGGTCCAAGGTAGAGGGGTCCAAGTCTCCGAAAGGGTACTAGGACCAGTCCATAAGGTTTGGGATAGGGGGAGGAGAGAAAGGGGCGGCGTCAGGGGAGGCTTCCTGAAAGGGGGGTTAAGGGGAAGGGAACGGGTCCGAAGGAAGCAAGACAGTGAGGGGTAATAAGTCAAACGGGGGCTGCAACTGGGGAGGGTTGGGGACGAGTGGGTTAGGAGCAGCTACTAGAAGAGGTGGGGTGGGGAGAGTAGGAGGCTAAGGGTCAGTTGAGGGGGATAGCACAGGGAGATGGGTAGCCGAAGGGAAGGGGGACAGAGGCAAGCAGACGACGGGAAAAGGAGGAGAGGAGAGGACGGGAGGGGTGATATCAATAGGGGGAATGATCTGGAGGCAGGGAGGGTCCAGAGGCGGATGCGTGCCACCGATGAGAAGCGAAGGGGGGGCCGGAAGGTGAGGGGACGTGGGCATCCGATTCCACGTTCCACAGGGGTAGAATCAAACGAAGAGGCAAATTGGATGCAATATCTAATATTGCAAAGAAATAGAATGTAACTAAAACCTCGATAATGTATGCTACAAGAGATTTATTAGCAGAACTCACCAAATTTGCAGTATCAGTGGTAGCCATGTCTTAATATCTACATATTTGTTCTTCATCTGATATTGGCATTCATTAATTTCATATCTACAAATAGTTAGTCCTATATCCCAGGGTCAAAGGCATGGCTGAAAGCTTTGTGCTCATTTACAATCACCAATTGCACTATAGCCATGTACCCATATGATAAACAATGCAAGAAAGGGGAAAAAAGCCAAAAATACAGAGAGAAACAAACAGCTCTCTTGCATCTGATAATCCAAAAGACTTCATGAAGTCAATCACAATGAAGTACAACTTAATGAAAAATTCGATAATGTTCTCCCCTTATTGAGCGTTATTTCAAAGTCATGCTTAAACTTTTCAATTGCATAGATCTTAGTAGTACTCCAACCTTAATTCCAAGGTAGATACACACCTCAAATGTAACCACAAATTCATGCTATTTAAGTACCTAAAATTTAACACAGTTTCAAGATTTAATCTAATGCTTGATAATATGTAATCACACTATACTATCTTCTTTGAAACAAATCCTTGACATGAGAAACAAAATATCAATTAGTTATTGAGAAGTAATTGTCACCATAGAAAAAAATAGGACTCCATGATTTCTTGGAACCAAAAACTAAGATAACACATATTGAGGGTAATGCAAGTTAAACAAACACATATAACCCATCAAAAAGTGTGAGACAATGAAAACTTTATGAGCTAAACTTACGCAATTAAATACTGCTGGAGCTCCAGGGCCTGCATGGCATGAGAAGATGCAATGTAAATAACATATTTGCTAGGTGAAGAAGCAACATTGAAAAAACTAATTTCTCATTGAGAGACCCTCAGTAACAACATGGAGATATCTTAAACAAGGGCATGCGAGGACATGAGGTGTAGAAACTAACCAAGGACACAGATTAATGTATTATGCCAAATCTATGCACAGATTGAACCAATCCTTAAACTTAGATAGGTGAAGAATATTAATCATCTGGACAAAATGTGGTTGAGCAAATAAGTTGACTAACTTAGACAGCTCAGCAAGTCAACCAAGCACCTAGAGTTCGTGTTTGATTTGGCTAACCTCTTTCTTTTGTTATCCTTGATCATTTTACAATTTCCACTGTTTTCTTATTTTTATTTTCTTAATTCCTGTATTTTCTATTAATTTCACTAATTTATGTACATGCTAGATGCAGAAATGTGCAACACGTGATTGCATTCTTAGAAAATTGGAAAATCTTCTTCTAACTCATATCTTAGAGAAAATAATTAATAATACAATAAATTTTATATTGTCATAGACTCATATGAATATTCTTTTTAAAGGGATAGTTATCATTAAAATCCGAGAAAAAAGGAGACAAGTTAGAAGAGAAACAAGAGAATTCTCTCTTACATTAACATTAGACTCAAAAGGCGATGGAGAGAATAAAGACTAGGCTATGTGCACATAAAAAGCTGTTTAACTTGATGGAATTAGGATATTTATACAACATATGTTAAGCCACAGCTAAGGGTAAGGCACATGTCATCCAACCAGGAAAAAGATCAATTAAGAGAGAGAGAGCTTACGGTCTCAAACCTACTGAAGGGAACTTTAAGACTAAGAGAGATTTCCACACACACACACAAGCACGAATAGAGAGAGAG